CACACACAATCACTCAAATTTACTGACACACACATTCACTGACACACACACATTCACTGACACACACACACACTGACACACACACATAAACACACTTGCTCACATTCACTAATGCACACTCACTCACTCACATTCATTGACACACACACACACTCACTTACATTCACTGACAAGCACACACACACACATTTTCCCCAACACTCACAATTCTTATAATTTTTTAAAATTTAAATCCACCCAACCTCCCTACTTTTGGGAGAGCTGGGTGGATTTTTCACCTGGTGTCCAGTGGGGCTGCTGGACAGGCGGGCGGATGTGCTGGCAGGCAGGCGGCCGCGCTTAGCTGTCAGCGAGGGAGCTGTGATCTCCCTGCTCAGCTCCCACAGAGTGATGCCGGGAACCGGAGTGACATCATATTCCGGCTCCCAGCATCACAGCAGGTCATGCAAGGAAGCTGAGCAGGGAGAGCTCAGGGGAAAGTGCTCCCTCGCTGCCCGCCGTGGGAAACCCAAAGCCCAAAGGTCCCCATAAAACGAGGCAAACATTAGCCTAGGCATTGGGGGGCAGTGCTTTTTTGCCAACCCCCTGGAAAGTGCCGCCAAAGGCAAATGCCTTGTTTGCCTTGCAGTAGATACAGCCCTATATGCATGTATTCCTGACCCTATAGTGTTACAACCACCATCTAGCCCCCCTGTGACCCTCATGTCTCCATAAATATAGCAAAATCTTACTGTATTCAAGCCTGAAGCTGTAGCTCTGCATGCTGTTAGACTCAGAAAAACAAGCAGTCTGGACAATCAGCATCTCCTCATAGAGATGAATTGAATCAATGAATCTCTATGAGGAAAGTTCAGTGTCTGCATGCAGAGGGAGGAGATACTGAATGTTTGGATGCATTTTAGGCAGCCATGACCCAAGAAGGATCTCTAACCGCTATCTGAGGAGTGGCCAGTGAAGTTATCACTAGGCTGTAATGTAAACGCTGCATTTTCTCTGAAAAGACAGTGTTTACAGCAAAAAGCCTGAAGGTAATGATTCTACTCACCAGAACAAATTCAATAAGCTGTAGTTGTTCTGGTGACTGTAGTGTCCCTTTAAATGAGGTATCCTCCCAGAGAATTATTGTATTTGTAATTTTAGAGTCTGGCATATTGTCTGTGGCTCAGATCTTTTTTTATTGGCCATTATACACACACAATCAGACCCTGAAAGAAGCATTTTCTAATCAGTGCCTTTTTACAGTCTTTTATTTTTGCCATAACAAGTTAGGACAAATACCTTATCATTCTCGTAAAGTATAATGCTCAAACTAGTCAAGTTTAATGATTTACGTCCTTTTAAAATTAGAGGAGCTTCCTGTCCGGTCAAGTCTCATTATACACCTAGTGTATGCAGCCTTTAATGTCAACAAAATGGTTTAATGTCTGTCTATATTGGGTTTATTGACTAAACACCATGAATGAAAAAATGAATAACAGATTTTTAAAAATTCCCCAACTCTGCTATAGTTGCAAATTGACCTTTTTAAGCCTAAAATGTGAATTCAATATAATACTATTCTGGGTTTTCTGGGTTACCATTTCGCTAAACAGAGAAGTGTGATTTGTCACTCCACAGAACACATTTCCATTGATCCAGAGTCCAGTGGCAACATGCTTTATACGAGGGGTGCCCAAAAGGTAGATGTTGTATAACAACAACGCCCGAGATGCTTTGCATGCCTTTAGAATGTCTTTAGAATGACAAGGCATTATGGAAGATGTAGTTTTTAAACATCTGGGGATCTACCTTTACACCACTTGATTCAACGCTTGGCATCGTACTTAAAGAGGCTTGCATGCAGCTGCTCAGCCACCGAAACGCATTCCATGAAGCTCCCACCACACCGTTTTTGTGCTGATGATAATGCCAGTGGAAGATTGGAACTCTTCAGCTATGGAACCAGAAGAGCGTTGGTGACTTTTATGCACCATGCATCTCAGCACTCGACGACACCGCTCTGTGACTTTACATGGTCTTCCGCTTCGTGGCTTAGCTGCTAATAATGCTAATAACACACTTTCCAATAATACTACTTGACCGTGGAATATCTAGCAGGGATGAATTTTCACAAACTGACTTATTGCAATGGTGGCATCCTATCACAGTACCATGCTTGTATTCACGGAGCACTTCAGAACAAACCATTTTTATCACAAATGTTTGTAAATGCATACTAGGTGCTTGATTTTATACACCCGTGGCAACGGGTCTGATTGAAACACCTAAATTCGATAATTAATAGGTGTGTCCCAATACTTTTGTCCATATAGTGTATGTGTATATATATGTATGTATATGAAACCCTACCTTTATCTCTCATCCCTATGTTCTTTTCTATCTATCATTGTATTTATTTTATCATCATTCTGTTTCTCTAACTCTTTACCTATTTCACTTGATTTAAATCTAAGACCTGGATCGACATTCCGCTGCCACCCAACCGTCCGTGTTTTTGAACAGTGATGAATAGCAAGCGCAGGAATTCTTCTGTATTTTTTTTCCTCTCAATTAGCTCAACCTTTTGCCCTTCCATTGTTTCTAGATCTTAACTGTCCATCAGTACAGACAAGAATTTAAACTGTGCTGTAATGGGGTAGAAATGGCTGTGGGCTCCTTTGCAGGTGCCTTGTCAACGGGAGATAATAGCAAGGATTTCTGTCAATTACTGCTCTTCGCTAATCCGATGTTAACAGCCCTATTCCTTCTGTTCGTGGGCACGTATGGGCTGGCATCTTCAAGAGCCTCTTTGTACATTCGTAAGCTAGTAAGATCAGGGAGCATTTAGCCCATTAAAACAAGTTTGTCAGGACAAAAAAAAATATGTACATTGTTGAGTGGAAGCGATACCCAAGTTGGCTGAGAAGGTTTTTAAACAAATTCCGCTTTTAATGTATCTTGCATTGGCTAGGTTCAAAGCCCTGACATGTCACCTGAGGCTGTTGTTTTAGAAGCACATGTCATTAACTCATCCTTTACTGTAACTGATATTCTTCCAACCATCTCATAAGCAAAACGGCAGAAGATCTAGAGAGAAAACCTGAAAGCGAGAGAACTTGTGTTGTTTGTATCATTTATGAGGTCAGTGAATGTATTAGTTCAGGAAGGAGATAGCGTGGGATATGGAGGAACTTGTCACATCTATTTAGAGATTGATCCTATGGAAGCATATTTAATCAGAAGCTCTCGATTGAGACATGGTCTCTTGCCAAGGGGAGATTTAAGGTTCCTCCATCAAGTGTTCAAGAAATGAGCTGTTGACGACATCCATATGTTATCTCTGTAACTTTGACACACAATTACTAGATGTCAAACATAACCATATGTAGCATCGGCTGTGGTGACACAAGAATTCACTTTCCAGCATATTCTAATGTAAAGAGTGGAATAATGTTTGATTGTAAAGTAAAAACTGACAAACAAATGGAAACCAGGCTCGTTTTGGCTCCTCCTGTGATTCCTAAATGGAGAGGTAGACGACAGTCACGATTACTGATTAAAGAGAAAATTCACAGTGAATTTCAAATTTAAAGCAAAGGTAACCACACCGAATGCACAGCTGACTTACAGATTTTTCTAGCTTGGCTATTTTGACCCTAAATTAGAACTTCCTTATGAATTCACTCTGAATTCCCACTTTAGTAAAACACCGTGAGTATGTTGATTCTAAAATTCACCTTTGAGGAGTGGAGGTGCTTTTGCATTAATAATGTTATTCTGAAATACCTTGAATGGAATGGCAACATCTAAATTATCTTAATCTGCCATCACATTCTATGGTTCTATATCTCTGCTTATTGAGTAAAATTTCACAAATGTAGAATCAATCCAGTGATGAGCCATAATTGCATGAGTTTGAGAAAGCTCCTGGTTGGTCAAATGGACCTTGGGAAAGAACAGTAAGCTAAATTGCTTTTTTCTATGGTCACGGGAGTCCAAACATCTAAATAGTTAGTAGAACGCTACAGTGTTAGGAATACATGTTTAGGAAAGACTTTGCCCTCAATACAACTTTATTGAGATTGAGTCCAACAGAGTCCCTTTAAGTTGTACAATACTGAATATAAGAATGATACATGTGTAACAGAAATATTATTGCAATCTATGCATCTTTTTTGGAACGCATCGCCTCTGTCTTCGTTCTCCAACAATTATTATAAACACTGCATCTTTATGTAATTGAACATAGTATGTTAAACTGGAGAAACAGATAAATTTATCAAAGTGATGTTAACAGTGTCTCCTTGGTTTACCAGTTTAAAATGTTTTAACATGTAGCCTGAAAAGTGTTGCCTTTTTTGTTTGCATTTTCTGACGGTTTTATTATGCCTTTGTGATTATGTGCCATTAACGAAGTGTAGTGTGCAAATAATCGCTGCATATTCTGTCTCACTTTTTATGTCAAAATATAAGTGGCATAAGAGAATTCTTTTATAGTGAAAAAAAATGGGTAAATATTAATAAATGAATCGCACTACACAAAAGTAATGTAAAAGCAAAAAAAAAAAAAGAAAAAGTGCAAAAGTGATAAATCATAGAAAAGGTTGATTTGTAGTGTTGGTTCCCCCATAGCATATCACTGTCTGGTATAGAAATAGACAGCCTTTTAGCAGCACTGTACTAAAATAAGACTTTAAAGTTCTTTGGCATGCCAGTCTCATTTTGTATATTTTTTTTAAATTAAACGCCTCTGTCTTCTGGGGTCTTTGATATTTTGCAAAGATCGCCGATGAGGACTGCTCCGATTGGTGTATGATGGCCGCAAGATGAATGGAAAGGTGAGTTTATCTTACCTGATCCTGTCCCTCATGGCTGCCACCATCCTCTTCCATCATTCTCTTGGTTTTCTTTAGCTCCTGGCGCTTCATCTACAAGGAGTCCACGTCAGTGTTGTACTCTTGCGCATGTGCAAAAGTACAACACTGAGGTCTATGGAGAATCCTGGGCGACCACATGAGCCTCCATAGCCGGGAAAAGTGGGGGAGATTAAGTGTGTATGTTGCCTGTGTGTCATGTTTTGTGTGTGAATGTTAACTGTCTGGGGCAGTTGCTTGAGGGATTGCTTGTGTGGTGTGTGTGTGTATGTGTTGGAGGCTGCTTGTGGAGTTGTGTGCATATATGTGGGTTGTCACTGGTGTTGTGTTTGTGTGGGCAACTTATGAAACGGTGTCTCTGTTTTCATGTGGGGAGCTTTCTTCTGCAGCTATATGTATGCATCTGGCTATCTGGTTTCTTCTCTGGGGTCCGGTGGGGAACTGGTTGTCCAGATACAGGTCAAGGGCTGGGACTGCTGTGGACTGCTCTCCTTCAGTTTAGATACCCCTTCATAAAACACTGGAAGCAATTGATCTGAGATCACTTCCTCCAAGAGCTGCAATGAATTATTTGAGCTCTGCAATTACTGTTTGAGCCAAACATTTGGCTGACTCTAGGAGATATCTGAAGAAGTCTCATTGGTGCCTGTTACACCAGCTTCATGAGAGATTCTCAGATATCCCCATAGTTTGCTGACCCCTGGTTCTTTAGCAAATCACATGAAGGATATGAGCACACAAGCAGGAGGACATTCTTCAAAGTATTGTGATCTGAAAATGGTGTGCAAAATATTACATTTGGTGTAATCAATAAAGAATGTTCTAGGTGATGGCTTTCCTTTTCATGATTGTCCCACTTTTAGAATTTTATACCACTTTTCACATTACAACTCTTTGATAAATCTCCATAGAGACTTAACTATAAAACACATTATCGCTTCCATTATCTGTCTCTTCAATTCCATCTTTCAAATTAAACAAACTGTATTAGGGATTTGCACGTTCATTAATTTTAATAGATCTGCTGCCCTGTGTAGAGCTGCACTCTGCACAAATTCCTACCTCTCTCGGCCAAAGAGCCAAATTCATGGTCCTCTAGTGGCTTCTTGCCTGGGGAAGACACTGGTTAGTGATAACATGTGGGAGACTGAAGACACTGTCATAATTTGGAAGCTGGGCTTATCTCCTTAAGGATTTGCCAGTGGCTGCAAATGTAATTTTTCTGACTCAGAGCAGATAAGTTCTACTTATCTTTATTAGTGTACAGGGGATCACTCTGTGTATTTTTTTAATTGCTCTGCACCCACCATATAGATTTGTATAAAATTTGAAGGAAATTTTCATTTCAAAAGAATATTTATCTTCTCTCTTGAAGAATTCAAGGCAAAACTAATAGATAAGAAGTAATACACTCTGCAAAATGTGTCAATGTTGCCTTGCTTTGCCGTTTGAAGAATTGCAGGTAGTAGGATTGGGGCATTTTCAGTCACTGTCTTTATTAGAGAACATTAAAAGCAGGACAACTAGACTCAACAAACCCAGGTCTCCGTAGTGACAAGTTCAATGTTAATGGAAATGACATAGTCGAAAAAGAAGTCAAGGTCAAGTTACTTGTAATCAAGAATAGTTGGTAATAGCTGTGTCAATACATTATTATTGGGAACAATATCACAGTATGCACTATAGGGATACAGAAACTTAACAGAGCTTAAATTCCGATATTTCACCTGCCCTTAAATGGCATACAGGGCTGGTCAAGTGAAATTCAAACTTAAGGCAAAAATAGCTGATCTGGAAAAATTATCTAAGTCAGCTGGGCTTCCAGTTGAGCTACAATACCCTAAAATTTTATATTTACTTTATTAAATAACCCTGTGAGCGTTGACTGTTCACTTTTTAGTGAATAACACTATATTTGGTGGCGCACATATGGTATGCTTAATGGAGATTTGGAAAGCAATCTGGCTGCTGTAGATATTTGCTGAGGGATTTAGTATACTACATGACTAATTAAAAAAACAAAAAATTTTATATGACAGGGCTGACATATATACTTTCTTACTGTGCTCAGAGCAGCTCTGTACCAAGGTCTTAGGCCCATTAATGCATTTTCATAATAGAGTGAGGATATCTGTGATCACCAATGGTCTTTGAGCACTTAAAGGGACACTCCAGTGCCAGGAAAACAAATTGTTTTCCTGGCACTGCAGGTCCCCTCTCCCTCCCACCCCCCATACCATGTTGCTGAAGGGGTTAGAACCCCTTCAGTGACTTACCTGAGACCAGTGCTGATGTCCCTCGGCGCTGGTTTAGGGTCCGCCCACGCTCCTCCCCCGCCAACGTCATCCGGCAAGGAGACCTAATGCGCATGCGCTGCAAGGCCGCGCATGTGCATTAGACCTCTCCATAGGAGAGCATTGAAAATGCTTTCCTATGGGGATTTAAGCGACGCTGGAGATCCTCACATAGCGTGAGGACACCCAGCGATGCTATAGCACAGAAAACCTGTGCTATAAACCAGGAAGTGCCCTCTAGTGGCTGTCTAGTAGACAGCCACTAGAGGAGGAGTTAACCCTGCAAGGTAAATATTGCAGTTTATGAAAACTGCAATATTTACAGTTGCAGGGTTAAGGGTAGTGGGAGTTGGCACTCAGACCACTCCAATCGGCAGAAGTGGTCTGGGTGCCTGGAGTGTCCCTTTAAGGGGTGATTCCGTAGGATTCTCCTAGATCTTAATTTTGAAGAAATGAATCCCATCTCTCCACTACAACTCTTTACCCCAAAACCCCTCTTAACATTTTATATTAACTGCTGGTTAATCTGTTTCAACAATGCTTTTCCGTTACTAGAGCTCTTTCAACCTAGCTATGCCTGATTATCCATATGCCGTCTTTTTGCACTGACCCTATGCACATCCCACGTAACACATGCTATGACAGCGAAAACCACTTTCTGTTGGTGGGCATTCTATCTAATGTCCCCGTTTTATAACCCACTACATCTCTATATTATAATGAGGCCTTATATTATGATAAAACTTTATGATGAGCAGAAAAACTGCATGAACAATATGAATATAACTTTTTGATTAATTCAGAAAAACTACACATGAAAAAAAACTCTCACTGGAATCAATAGTATGACATGTCCCGGAAAGTCAAAGCTTATTAAGGGAAATGGCCTGTGTATATAAAATCTTGTTTTATCATCCAATCTCTATCTGCCGTATGAGAATAATATTCATTTAAAGGCACAAAGGGTCACCTGCGTAATCAGAATAGTTATCGGAAGGACCTGCATTTCCAAAGAGCTACATTAAACTGATGTCCTTGGCTTACAGATCGTCAGTCTCTTAATTGCACGATTTACATAGTCCTTGAGACTAAGAGCTCGTAAGGACTGTAAGAAAACTATTGCGTCCTGTCTGTCTGTGTACAGCAGGCATGAGCCTACAAATAAAATACTCAGAAATTAGAATGTTTCCTCCTGTCTGGAATATATCCTGAAATATATACATTTAAAAAGAAAACTAATGGAAACAATGCAAGACTAAAAATCCTGTGGTCAAACCCTACTCCCCTCCTCCCCCCAATAAAAAAAACATTGAGTGATATTTATAGTTTAACATGGAGCAGCTTTACCTTTGAGTCGAAATACATTTTTCTAATGATTTTATTTATGAAGATCTACACCACTTCAGATTGTAGATTCTAGTACTGAGAGTTCTACACGCGTCACGTGAGTGTTTAGGTGTCAGTGGTTAGTTTGTCTCAATTGTATGACACTGCGGAACATCATTGGTCATTAAGAGGTTAAAACAAGACTTGAAGCTGGGCTCTCCTCTGCATCTCAGCTCAACTGGCCCCAGACAATCTGACATCTTCCTGCAGTGACATAAAGAGCGGAGGAATGAGGGGGGTGATAAGTAAGGGACAACAAGCTAGATTTGTACGTAAGGCAACAATAAATCGCTGAACTGGTTCTACGCGTGAAGGAGACTGACTTGCACTTTAACTGGCTGAGTGTGTTCTTGCTTTTGCATTTACTTGGACTGCAAAGTGTGGAGCCCATAGGTCAGGGGGAATAGAATAAAGACTTACATTGCAAATAATGAAATAGGTGTGGATTTAAAAGGTAGGTTTGTACCATATCCACAGCAATAAGCTAAGGAGGTCATGGAGCATGACGAGTCCTTCCATGAGTAAATATTCAAGAGATCGTGACCTCCATACGATGTAGAGGCCTTTTATACTTACCCCACATAATGCACAGCTCTGATATTGACCCCCATATAATGCACAGTTCTCCGATGGTGAGAATGTGCTTTGCTCTGGAGGTGTGTGTGCTGTGTTTGGGTCAGTGTGAAGTTGGATAATCTTTACCCACAGCTTGTTTAATTACTGTTTATTCAGTAACATTTTACAGTTATGTTTGACAAAATGCCCGCAAAGGAATGAATACACTAGTATTTAAAACTAGGGCCGTCTGCTCCCCACTGGGTCCCAGAATCTTTAAAAATTAGGTTTGATGTTTAGTTAATTCGCATGACCTCATTTCTTTCGAGGCCTTGAAAGGATTTGCAGATCTCATGTAAAATACATGGAGGCATATGCGAGCAGTGCCCCAGCGGGGGCAAGGAAAACAGCACCTATTATCAAACCTGCTGACTGCACAGAAGAAATTTCAGTTAATCCTACAGATCTCACCCCTTTTTAACAACCCATGCAAAGCAGGCCATAATCCGTCCGCCCGAGCTTGTCTATTTTTTTTTCTCTCTCTCCATTCCATGGAAAATGAAGGTGCGATGGATATGTAAGATGTTTGTGTTGCTCTACATTGGTCGTCCCCTGCCCCGTTTATGGGTCTAGGTAGAAGGCTTAGCAATGTCTGGTTTCTCTGAGCCCCTGATGACAAGTTCGTGAGAGAATGCTACGAGGAATTCATTTTTCTAGAACTACGTAATCATGCAGGTCCTTGAAGCACCTCCATCTTCCTCAGTCTGACTCATTGCAGTCAATCTAATCAGAAACGGAGGAGAGGGAAGGGAGTTCAAGTAAGAGGGTACAGTAATGTCGAACATACAGTTGAATTCCTAAGGTAACAAAATACAAACCTAAAACATTAAAAAGAAAAATGCCTTCTGTCACACCATTAAATGAAACATTGAAAATCGGCCACAATTTTTTTTTCACGGGATCCCCATTTTCTTCTAAATTTATTTACATTTTTTTATAGATGACAATATATACCAGTTGAAACAAGGCAAAGCCAGGGCAGACATCACAAATGAGAGTAGTAATAGAAACATTGTTTCATTGTTTTTCTCTGTATGTTTTCTCTGTGCTGACTGCCAGTTGCAAAGGATGGAGTTAATAGTAATGATTGACAGGGAGCTAAGATGGCGGCGCCCAGTCATAGAGTAAACAGGTGTGGATTTTGACATTTAATTTTATTTTTCACACCTCACAGATACATATTTCTTATATTGGAATTGTAATCTGGATAAGAAACCCCCATTTTCATGAATCAGGAACGGGCCAGGAGTCCACGGGCGAACGGAACAATATCGCTGGTAACAAGAAACGGGACATGCTATGGACCTGGAAATCCCTCGAAGGGAAACCCAAGTCCCCCAGCCTAAAACTTCGGTCTTGGACCGACGTAACAAAAAACATACCACCGCCTCCGCTCAGGAGACGTTCTGAAACCAAATACCACCCGGCACTCACTTACTAGGACAAACTAATTCCCACACTCGCAAGGCACCAAAAAATGCAAAGGTAAACACAACATGAAACAATAAAGTTTTAAATGCGGAAAAGCACATCTGTCTCAGAACCAGCAAAATCCCCAACAGCAGAGCCCCCAATACTGGCCGTTGAGAATCAGCCACCCGAGGCCCCTTCCGCCAACCCTGCATAGCCAAGATGACCATGTAGTCCTTTGTGACATCTGGGAACCTGGTTAACTTGAACAGAAGCCCAAGCCAGACAACTTTGCAGAGACCGCCGATGGTGAAATCCTTGATGCTTCCCAAAACCATGAGAGACGCAGAAGGTCCTGAATCCAATCGTCTTCAGAGTGAAAACCACCAAACGCTTGTTCAACCATTCCCCCATGCCTTACTGTAGCGGGCCCAGGTGGCATCCGAGACAGAGTACTGGATCCACGCCCTCACTCGTTCAGACCAAGTTACCACAGCTTCGTCAGGCAAGGGCAACCTTCCGTATCCGCCCCAGGCGCGGCCGCCCTGAACTCCTGCCACTGTGAACGAGAAAGGGCATCTGCTGTTACGTTCTTAACACCCGGCAGGTGCGCTGCCCTAAAAGTGATGTTCAAGGCCAAGCAGCACAGTACTAAACACCTCAAAAGACGCACCACAAGGGGAGATGAGACCAACAAGCTACCAACACTACCCGCCGATCCTGAAGAAAATACCCCCACAGATACACTGCCACTACGATCGGGAAAATCTCCAGGAATGCCAAATTTCTGGTCAGCCCGGCCAAGAGTCCGCACACCCAAAATAAAAACATGAAATTGAGCATCCCATCCATATAATACTGGCCGTCGAATATACAACCCAGCAGGTGATGACATTCCGGTTGAACAGGGAGGAGACAAAAAGCTTATTCGATATCCATTTTCACCATCAGCGCCACCGGATCATTCACACCGCCGCATCAAACTAAGCGTAGGAAACTCGACATAATTCCACCGTGATGTCATCATTTACCGAACCCCCTTGGGGGTAAGATAAATGATGTATTAACCTAAACTTCCCCGGTTCCTTCTTAGGATCCACACCCAAAGGGGAAAAGGCAGCTCCCGAAAGGGGCCTGCCGTGCACCCCAGCATCATCTCCTTGTTTAACTTCTCCCGCACCACCGCTGGGTGGTCCCGCTCTGAACGAAGGTTCCGACAAGATGTGACCGCTGTTCGATCCCGGTTAGGGATCCAAAAACCCTCTTTGAAACCCGAGGGTAGCAGCGCTGCTGCTTTCCTCTTTTTATATTGGCTTATCCAGGGGCGCATCGCGGCGACGTCCACTGGCATCCTTGCCCTTAGCGCCCACTGCATTTCCTCTGTCCCCAGCCTTGCCCTGCTTAAAGCAACGGGATGCGGGATGGGACCCCCCTCGCAAACAAATGGAGCATTCATGTTTGAACTTACACCCTGTGCCCCATTTACACTGTCTATCATTGTATAGCCTACAGCAGCCAAGTTTGTGATAGCCAGCCAATGCGGTGGAAGACCCACCCGCGCTGGCACCCCCGAGAAAGGACGCCAGACCCCGCAGGTGCGAAGCCGGCTGAGTCATGATGGCAAGCCACAGACCAATGTCTGCCAACCGTTGGCGGAATTGCTCATCGTAACGCCACCAGCCTAAGCCGCTGTAAACATGCGTTCCAAATGAGATCCTGGTAGCAGAAAAGAGACGAACATTTGTCCTGCGCCTTCTTCCCGATCACACTGGCCAAGATTGAAAAAGCCTTGATCCAATTACCGAAGGTTTTAGGTATTTTCCGGTACTGGAAACGCTCCCTTTCCTTCTCTGATTCCTTAGAGTCCCTATCCACTGTGGGTAAGTCTTCCAGAGGGAGAAGGGTAAATTCCAGAAACTCCCCCTTCCAAATTTTTTATTTTGTCTCCTGTTTTAAGTGAAGGCCCAGAGGTCCCGACCAACACATGTAAGTCGCCCCATGGGCGACCTGCGCGACCTCCCCCCCAGGGATGCTTGTCCCTGGAGACAACTCAGTAGCCCCCAGGGACAGGAGTGGAAACCAATTGGCCAAATCCCCCCCCCCCATCAATGTGGAAGGTGCACCCTTGTAGGACTAAGAGCGTCCCACCCAGCCTGCACTTGGCTATCCACAGAAGTGGGCAGTGAAGGAGGAACCGCGGTATTACGCTCCCATGAATCCAAGAAGCCCCTTATGCTCCTAACTAAGCTAACCCAGTCCAGTCCCCCAGGAACACTTGCGCCCCCCCACACCCTGCTACACCCGACAAAGAAGAATACTCACCACTGAAAGTCCTTCACTCCCAACCCAGTGTAGAACGGCCCACTTCTGGAGGTATCAATGGTAAGTATGACAGAAGCAGGCCATGGGGAAGCTAGGGGAGAGGGGCGCATGAGGGGAAGGGTGGGATCTGTCAGACTCACTCTGCACTGGGGACAGTGTGCCTTGCGGCACCCGTTGGAAGCCCCGCTCCCCTGGCCCTTGGGATTTAGTTTGCCCCTCACTGCTGCAATCCTGCAGCCCACTTACCCTCCTCATGCCCGTGCTGGAGCTCCGTCCTCTGGGAGCACGGGACGAGCGTTGGGTTGATGGAGGTGGTCCTGGGGCTTCCGACGGCCAGCATGCAGCCCGAGGGTCCACATTGCGTCTGGAACAAGTGGCCGCATTGTGGCTTCCCGTCTCATGACCGCACGGAGCCCATCCCGCGAGACTTGTGAGAGAGCTGGGGCAGCCGGAGCAGGAAGCGGTGCAGCCTGACGGCTCACGGCCTCGTGGGGAACGGCCCGCGAGTCCGAAACAGGGCTCCTACTCCACCCCCAAGCCCGGTCCTTGCGTGAAGGACTAAACCGAGTCGGGAGTGCTGGAGGGAATGGCGGCAGCCACGGCGGCACCCAGCAGGTGCCAGCAACCGTCAATCAAGTCCTCGGCCTTGAGGGCAGTAAGAATGGCTTCAATATCCATCAGGCCTACCTAATAGCACAGATAACAACAAAAGAAAGCTGTTACAACGCCAGAATTTTTAAATGGCTGAGGTAAGGGGGGAAAATGCCCGCCATAATATATACCACAGCCCCCTTCCCCCCCGTACCACACCCTTACCTAACACTCCTCCCCAGTTACACCTACACTTTCCCACACTCACACATGCCTCTTATCCGGCCAGCCTTTGACCGCCTCCTCAGGCTCTGGGTTGTGGTTGACTTGTGTTTAGCTCTGCCCCTGATCTGCCTCCTTGACAGTCTCAGTCAATTCTATGGGAAAGCATTGTGATTGACTCACAAATCACTTCAGTCAGCCAAGTAGGCAGATCCGGGGCAGAGACAGCAGCTGCAGACTTGAATACAAGTACGGTTTTACCATACTTAGCGAGGCAATGGGAGCCCGGGGGTGCTAGATGGTAGTTTTAACACTATAGTGTCAGGGATACATGTTTGTATCCAAATGTCAAGTCCTACGTTACCAGTCAGACCCAAAGGTCTATTGGATGGACCATTGCACACTCACTAGTGGTGATTTTATACCTGACAGTGGCTAGTGGTCAAGTGGACATTTTGAACCCTATTACTGGGATATGTTATAAGAACACATTGGGCAAATAATCAAAGGCAAATCAGCAGAACTAATAGGTACATAACTTTCCCCTACTCCTATTTATCACACTGGATGAAGAATTAAAAAAGTAAATAAAAGCCAGTCTAATTGAATAAGATCTGTAAAATCATAGCAGAACTTTTGCTTGTACGCTATAAAACACACTGCCCACATGAAGGAACACACAGCTGCATGGCAACCTCAGGCAGACATTTCTGTGTTATCGCTAGGATTTGGTCAACAACTCATTCTGGGACACGTAGTTCCAAGAGTGCTTGACTACTCGTCTGAGCATGGTCCTCACTATCTCTGAATTGTGTAAACCGGCTTATGTTATTATTAATGCCATTTATATAGCGCCAACAGATTCCGCAGCGCTTTACAATATTATGAGAGGAGGAATTTAACTATAAATAGGACAATTACAAGAAAACTTACAGGAACGATAGGTTGAAGATGTCAGGGTACCTGTTGGTGATGTATCCAGGGAGGACATCCTCTCTGCTTAGGGGCTCCATTCCCCTAGCATTTCGGCATATTTCGGCCGTTTTCGCGCCGGCCGCGCTAGCTCCTCCCCCTTTTATGACGCGACGGCTAGCGTCGACGTCATGACGTCGGCATTTGCATAAAGTGCCGGGAACCGCTATTCCGGACCTTTTGGGGGCGTGGTCTCTATTTAGGTAACAGGGTATTTAAAGGAAACCTTTACTACTGCTCATTGCCCTGTCGTGGTTCTAGCTTGCTAGTCACTCAGCGCGTTCTTTATCTTGTGTTTCCGGTTTTGACCCTTGCTTGTCTTTTGTCCTGTTGTCCTCTCCTCTCCTTTGACTCGGCTTGTATCTCGCTTACCTGTCCTCCGGCTCCCTTGACCTCGGCTTACCTTTTGACTATTCTTGCTTTGTCCTTACGTTAGTCCGGCCATTCTAAGGTCCGGTATACGTACCTCCTTCTGTGCGCACTCTGCGTATTGGATCCCTGTCAGTTTCCTGACATTACGACAGGGCCATGATGGATCCTGCAGGTGCTAGTCCTCCTGACCCCAGATTTGAGGCCATGGACCATAGAATGGACCAAATGGCTTTAGCGCTACAAACTTTGTTGACACGCTCCAGTACCCAGTCTGAAGAAATACGCTCCACTGCTAGCCACTCGCTAAGTACTGGTTTGGAAGTAGCCACTGTAGGCGCATCTTCCCATGTCACGTCACCATTACGATATGGGGGTTCGCCTGATGCTTGTCGTGGTTTTTTAAACCAGATAAGTATACATTTCGAACTACAACCCCGGGCTTACCCCACTGACAGGGCTAAGGTAGGCTTTATTATAACCCTGCTAATAGATAAAGCACTTAGATGGGCCAATCCCCTTTGGGAGAATGACAATCCTTTAGTCTACAACTACACTGCGTTTGTCACGGCTTTTAGAAGAACCTTTGACCCCCCAGGGAGGAAGATTAATGCGGCCAGATCCCTGTTACGCCTTAAACAACAAGATAGGACCCTTGTAGAATATGCTCTAGAGTTTAGATCATTGGCAGCAGAAGTGAAATGGAACGAACAAGCTTTTATGGATGTTTTCTTGAATGGGTTGTCTGATGAAATTCTAGATGAAATTGCCACAAGAGAACTTCCGGAAAATTTAGAGGATTTAGTATCCTTCATTTCCAGAATAGATGAACGCATGAGACAGAGGCAGAACACTCGGGAAAGAGTTACTAGACTTCCTGTAAGACTCGCTCCCTCATTTCAGAACCCTGACTCCTATAATCCTACTCCACCAGAACCTATGCAAATAGGTAATACTCGCTTATCTGAGGCTGAGAGACAGTACAGAAGAAGGGAGGGTCTCTGTTTATACTGCGGGCTGAGAGGTCACCTACGCCTCAGTTGCCCTAATCGTCCGGGAAACGCTCGCACCTAAGTTCCCTTAGAGGACGGGCCTTGGGTGTTTCATTACTGTCCTCTATGCATAATAAAAAAGACCATAGGCTTCTGATTCCTGTCTCTCTAGCTTGGGAAAAGGGGTTTATTACTACGATGGCATTATTAGATTCTGGAGCAGCAGAAAGCTTTATAGACCAAACTTTCGCTAATAAGCATTGTATCCCATTCCAATTGAGAGATACACCCTTGGCCGCTGAGGCCATAGATGGTAGACCTTTATCTGAACCAGTAATATTCCATGAGACCGAACCCGTTAAGCTTACTGTTGGTATTTTCCACGAAGAGTTGATTTCCCTTCTGTTAATTTCCTCCCCGGCAGTCCCAGTGGTTCTAGGATATTCTTGGCTCAAGAGACACAACCCTCAGATTGACTGGGAGGGTGGAGAAATCGTTTCTTGGGGTATGGGTTGTAGGAAAGAATGTCTGCAGAGAGTTACTTCTGTTTGCCCCGTGAACTCTTATGCTAACACTTCTCAATCCACAGACGTTCAGATACCATTACAATATCTAGACCTCAAATCTGTATTTGACAAGGGTAAGGCGGATACTTTACCTCCCCACCGGTCTTATGACTGTTCTATTAAACTTTTCCCTGGTACTATGCCTCCCAGGGGTACGGTATACCCTCTATCCACCAAGGAAAACTTAGTTTTAGAGGAATATATCAAGGAGAATTTAGACAAGGGATTTATTAGAAAGTCTTCTTCTCCGGCGGGGGCGGGTTTCTTTTTTGTAGAAAAGAAAGACGGTACCTTACGCCCTTGTATAGACTATCGGGGATTGAACAAAATTACTATCAGAAATGCTTACCCTATTCCTTTGATTACTGAACTCTTTGACAGACTAAAGGGCTCGAGTATTTTTACTAAACTTGACTTAAGAGGAGCATATAACTTAGTGCGAATTAAACAAGGAGATGAATGGATGACAGCATTTAATACCCGTTACGGGCATTATGAGTATACCGTAATGCCGTTTGGGCTTTGTAACGCCCCGGCCGTCTTCCAAGACTTGATCAATGAAGTTCTTAGAGAATTCCAACATGAATGTGTAATTGTATATTTGGATGATATACTAATCCATTCTAGAGACATTAATTCACATCATAGACAAGTCAGAAAGGTATTACAGAAACTTTTACAACATGGATTGTATTGTAAATTGGAAAAATGTAGCTTTGACCAGTCTCAGGTAACTTTCTTAGGTTACGTAATTTCCAAAGACGG